ACTAAAATTTTGTCATACTATTATTGCCGTAATTTTCCGAATGGCCAACCCGATTTTCCGAATACGATAATCTAAAAAAGGTTGGGGGGGGGGGGTTAACCACCCCAATACCTCTTCGCTATGGCCCTGAAGTCATCGTTGAATTGTTATGTAGAACATAATGACAACATACAAGGTGTCCTCAAAAAAGTAAACTCCTTCAAATTCAAATCAGCCATTATCTATTGTAGTAATTCGCTGATGCAACACAAATGATCCTCAATGAATAGAGCTGTCAAATTACCACAATAAATTACGGTTAATTTGAACTTGAAAGGGTATACTCTTTTTGAGACACACTGTAGAATGACAACGTGACTTTTTCCTTGGGCATGGTCGATCGATGAGCATGTATTGTTGTAAAATACTAAAAATTGGAATTATTACCCGAACTTGGCCTATATTTGGCCAATCTTTGTTTGTGCCTTCACTCATTTTGTTGGAAAGGCATTTTGGAATTCTCAACTTTTATATTTCATCTACTTTGCTCCTTCAGCACATACAAAGTTGAAATTTATTTCAAATTTCAATACTGCACACTTTTGCATTCAATACTGCACACTTTTTATCCAATACTGCGCAAAGTGTGCATTATATACTGCACACTAAAATAGGCCCTGACAAAAATGATGTCGTTACCGTTGTTATATATGGTAACAATGACGTTTATGGCCGACATTTTACCTTTTAACACATTTTACTCGAAAAAGAGTAAACATGAGTAAAGTACATTATAATGTGGCTTTATCAAGATTCAATTGTTTTTGTAAAGGCATGCAACTAAAGGCATATCATGATTAAATTGTAAAGGTCAAAAAAGGTATGGATTTCTTTAATCAACTTTAAAGATCACATATAAACTTGAGTAAAGTATGATGTGGCTTTATCAAGCTTTAATTGTTTTTGTAAAGGTAACTAAAGGCATATCATGATTATAAAGATGTATTTAAACAAGTATTAAATGTCGATAAAGTTCGAACACACCTTTAATGCCTTTAAACACAGTTGTATACGTTTAAAGACACCTTTAGCAGATTTACTTCAATTGTTTTTGTAAAGGCATGCAACTAAAGGCATATCATGATTAAATTGTAAAGGTCAAAAAAGGTATGGATTTCTTTTATCAACTTTAAAGATCACATATAAACTTGAGTAAAGTATGATGTGGCTTTATCAAGCTTTAATTGTCCTGTGATATATAACACAGTTCCTAGCTGGACCCCTGTGCCAAGATTTTTTCTTTTCTTCGATCTCTCACAAGATGTAACTTTGTGGTTGTGCATTCACTATACTTATATTTATAGTCCATACGACACACGTGACAATGACAAGCAAGACTTGTTGTGACTCCATTCTTTAGAAGCATTTAGAACATTCCCACACAAAGCCGGAGTAGCATTAATTGCACCCACTTGCGTCGCCAAAATATACAAATTAGGTTTTGGTACTTCAATGAGTTAGTCAGCATGCGGTATTTTAGCTTAATTTTAATGATATATAACCATCTTTCAGTAAAACTCTTTCTTAGCTTCTCAAGGACCATTAGAGATCAGGAAATCATTTTAACCAAAACCAGATCAAATTTTAACAAATAAGTCAATCAACCTGATTGTGCACTAAATCTCTAAAAGTTCATGACGTCTCAGTTATGACTTAACGAAGTACGACAGAGACAAAATAGTAATACCCGAGCCGACGGCGCGAAGCGCCGTGCGAGGGTACTAATTCCCCCCGGCTATTTACACCCGGGGAAACGAAAGCATTAGCGGAGTCTAAAGTTCATCAAATATCGCGGGCTTGGGTGACCAACGATGGGTGGTCATCCTCACTGATCTCAAAAATATGGCGGACTGTTATGAATAGCGGACACTGATTGGTCCAATTTAAATTTTGCATTATAACGACTGGCACGAATGTATCACGACAGCGAAAAAGCAAACATTTCTTGATTTGATGATTGATAAATTTCTTGCAAATATATTTCATTTTTACTCGCATTTTTGCAAGATTTTGTAAATTTCAAAAGCTCTCTCAAAATGAAACTGCGAAAGAATCGTCTAAAAGAAGGGAGCCGACGTTAACGAAGGTAAGTTTGTTTTAAATATTGATTTTATAATGGCTTTAAAACCCGACGGCCTTTGCGTATATGAAACAACTAAACAAACAGCATATAATTTTAGTGTATCTTTAATATTGATTCCCTTTTTTATGATATTGAATTTCTAAATAAAAAAGAAAGCACTGAGTTATTTGCAAGCCAGAATTTGAAATCATTTTATTGCTAACTCAAAGTTTATCGATAAAGCCATTTTAAAAGGCAGTTTAGTTTTATAATGAACACTAGTGACTTTAAAACGTTTTGCGAAGCGTTTGTGGTTGAATTTTACCTTAAATTGAGGCTTATATTACGTATAAAAACATACCTAACATATATTTATGTTGGGAAATTAATAATTTTGTAATTAAAAGTGATATTTTTAGGCGATTTTTCATTTGTAAGAATATTCTTAAAAAATTATCGTGTTACCATGACAACTACTTTAGAACTTCATGTTCGGAAAATACAATGGTTTTGTCAGCAAGGCGAGGGTTTCTGCATGCATGTATTTTCTAGTATTACTGCAAAATTATTACACGCATTGACGTAATAATGCACTCAATTTATCCTTTGGTATTTGAAAAGCGTAATGTTATCCCCGAGCCAACGGCGCGGAGCGTCGTTCCGGGCGTCAGCCCTTGGCGAGGCGGAACTAATTCCTCCCGGCTATTTACACCCGGGGATAGGGAAGAATTAGCCAAGTCTAAAGTTCATCAATGATCGCGGGCGTCGGTCACCAACCGTGGGTGGTCATCCTCACCGATCTAAAAAATATGGTTGTTTGCCAGGGGTGGGATAAGCAAGATTTCAATTTTCAAAAGCATATATTTGGAAAATCACGTTTCACACAATGAGCTTTAAAGCATTTCTTGTTTGAAGAAATGAGAAGAATTGATTTACTGTGGAAAATCGTGGAATATAGGGCAAGTTTGCTTTGAATGTTTAATGTTTTTGAATTTTGTTGCCTTAATTTATTGCGGAAAACATGCACTGCTTTCCTTTTCAATGAACCTGTATTAAAGTTTGCTAAATTACCCTGTTGAATTTACGAAAAAAGGTAGAATGTAAAGGAGAGCAAATTAATTTGAAAACCGAACTGAAATTGCTCAACAATTTGAACTTATTTTGTTTTATAATGTAAAAACAGTTTATCGGAAAAAGCAGTTTATAATAGTTTAATATTATTGAAAATGAACATTTCAAAACATTTTACGAAGCGATTCAGGTTAAATTTTACATTAAATCAAAGCTCACAAAATGCACATACCTACAGTACATATTTCGGAAATTCATTGTTATATAGGTAAAAGCAATAATCTTTCAACTATTTTTGGCGTGCTGTACAAAAAATATAATAAAAATTCGATTTATCATTTTATCGTGTCTGCATGGCAACACTGATGTAAACGCGAGCCTGCGTTCAGTGTTAATCAATTACTAATACTTCATGTTAAATCAATGTTTGGGAAATACATGCGAGGTGTACCTTCCCAACGTTGCAGGCAGGATATGTTGTTTACGTGCAACGGGCTTAATTTAAAATTACATAAGTCAAAATAATCCAAGCAAAACGGTTTTTGTTCAGTGTAAAAACTGGTTCATTTGAACTAGTCATTTTGAGTTATGCAATCGTGTGCCTTCATCCATCGGTGTCGCTGAACAATGAAAAAATTTGTCGTCAAATTAGTGAAGATAAAATAGCAGTTGTGAAAAAACTGCGGGTCTACGGTGCGGAAGCGGAGGTGAACTCAGTGTGTTCGAAAGTGTTAGTTCCAATAAAAATATTTCAGTTGCAGGACAAGCATGCTAAATGCAAACCGTTTTCTAAGTACTTTTCGAGGTCATAGCAAACGGCCTACAACACTCAATAACTGTATGCTTACATTTTTTAAAATTTATTGTAATTTTTGCACTACTATAGATAAATGTTAATAGGATATCACTAACAGAATCACAGTTCTTGACAAATGTTATAGCTGTTCGTGGATGACAATTATGGCTTCAAGGAAGTAGTTTGCAAACTTTTAATCAAATGCTTTCCCCTTGTCTGTTTTGTACAACAAATACACGTAGTTACCTACTTCCCGAGTTCCGGTATTTAAATCTGCCCCATAGCGAAAGTAGCCATTAATTGTTTTCTCTGTGCGTTTTTTACCAGATGTAAGAAAATCAATAGCAGTCATCTTGTTTCCCCCGACTTTTGTTATACACAAGTAATTGTATGTTCCTCCTGCTCCTTTGTTCAAATCTTGATCAATCTTAGTATAGCCATTTGGCACAAGGGCGTTACCTTGAATAAATGCCAGACCAGCGATTGCTTCATTCTTATTGTCAGAAAAATGCTTTAGTGGATAGATGAAGTTTCCGCGCGATCCACTATTCAAGTCAACGTTGATCATGTTTGGCACCCCTTTAACTTTAGAATCACTGACGACAAAACTAATATTTGAGATATATGCCATTTCGAACTAAAGTGGGAAAAAAGCAGGATTTATATAAGTAATTATTTTAATATTTTATATTCTATCTGTTTGGCGGAAGGTATGGCTAGTTTATATTTGTTCAAATGTTTAAGAAATTAAGTAATTTGATCAAATATAATGTCTCTTGACTTTTAACGGCCATAGTTGGCTACAGGGGGGGGGATCCGCCGATCCGCCTAAATTTGAAGCAAAATCCGCTATCTGACAATTTTATGGCCTTGTCCAAATTTGAATCTGCTAAAAACTCTACTATGAAGTCACAATCTAGGATCCGAACTAAATTGCAAGTTAAATCTACAATCTGAGCCAAAACTATTAGATAAATTCGCAATTCGCTGTATTAATAAGATCCACGAATCCGTGTAAAATATACGCCAGATCCAAAATCCGAACATTTTTTTTTTTGTGAAATCCGACGATTCGAAAACCTATTCACCCTCTTTGAGATATACTCGTCTTAATCCTCACAACCAACAATTTCTGCATGCGCGCAATCGTCCGTAAACAAATATTGTTTACTAAAAATTGTACAAAATACAAAACACACAGACGGGGGAGGTAAATAACATGCCACAACCCAAGTCCAATATCGAAAAGTACAAAATTTGAAAGCAAATAAATCGAAGATACAGGTCTTTTATTTGTTGATTTATTTTCTTGTTTCAACGACGTGAGTTATATATATATACATATATATATATATATATATATATATATATATATATATATATATATATATATATATATATATATATATATATATATATATATAATATAATATATATATAATATAATATATAATCCCAGTGGTACATATGTATTCAATTTTTCAATCCAAAAGCTTTCCCTATCTGTAGGTTTATTAATATCCGTGATATCAATAATCTGTGCTTTAAAGTCATTAAGACCCGAATGGCCCTTCTCAAAAAAATTTTCATACAAATGTTGACCACATCAACCTCTTTGGCCCTTAGAATATCTATTAAGCGAACTCTTGTGGATATTAAATCTAAGACGAAATGACGTTATAGTATTGCCCACGTATTGTTTACTACATTTTCCGCAAGTAATTAAATAAACCACCCCCCGAGAGTTACAATCAAAGTGATGGTTAATGTGA